TGTCGAGGATGGGTGAGTGGGTATCAATGTGGCAAATGGGGTTCAATGTGGCCAAGTGCAAGGTGATGCACATTGGAGCCAAAAATCCTAAATATAAATACACGTTGATGGGGTCCGAACTGGCAGAGACTGACCAAGAGAGAGATCTTGGAGTCGTAGTAGATAACTCACTGAATATGTCAAGACAGTGTGACTGCAATAAAAAAGGCCAATGCTATGCTGGGGATTATTAGGAAGGGTATTGAAAACAGATCAGCCAATATCATAATGCCCCTGTATAAATAAATAGTGCAACCTCATTTGGAATACTGTGTACAGTTCTGGTCATCACACCTTAAAAAGGATAGTATAGCTTTAGAAAAAGTGCAGAAAAGGGCAACTCAAATGATAAAGGGGTTGGAACACTTTCCCTATGAGGAAAGGTTAAGGCGCTTAGGGCTCTTTAGCTTGGAGAAAAGACGACTGAGGGGTGACATGATTGAGGTTAATAAGATTATGCATGGGAAAGAGCAGGTAGAGAAAGAGGTACTTTTCTCCCTTTCTCACAATATAAGAACTCGTGGGCACTCCATGAAATTACTGAGCGGTCGAGTTAGAATGGAAAAAGGAAGTACTTCTTCACCCAAAGAGTGATTAACACATGGAATTCACAGCCACAGGAGGAGGTGGCGGCTACAAGCATGGACATCTTCAAGAGGGAATTAGATAAACATATGGAGCAGAGGTCCATCAGTGGTTAATAGCCACAAGGTATAGATAGGGACTCCGGGGCAAGTGATGCTCTGTATTTTTGGTGCTTGGGGGAGTCAATAGTGTGAGGGCTCCTAGAGTCCTGGCCCCACTGCTGGACCTCCTGATATCCTGGTATTTTTGACCACTGTGTGCCAGAGTGTTGGACTGGATGGGCTGTTGGCCTGATCCAACATTGGCTTCTCTTAACGTGTATTTATAGTTAGGATTTTTGGCTCCAATGTGCATCACTTTGCACTTGGCCACATTGAACCCCATTTGCCACATTGAGGTCCAGTCATAAGAACCTGGTAGGTTCGCTGGGCTTCCTAATCATTTTGAGTCTAGCTCACCATGAGTGTTTAAATCTTAAGATATTTGTAAAAAATGGCCCGGGTATTGCCTGACCTGCACATATGCTATTTGTATTGGATTTGTGTTTGCTTATTAACAAATAATATTTCCAGTAATATTTCCTGCCATCTGTACTACTTCACCATTCCTTTACCACTTCCATTTTAATTATTCCTAAAAGTCATAACATACTTCACAACTGTCTCTTATTACAACAACCATCTATCATTTTCAACCCAGATGTTCTTGCATCCCACACAAGAGAGATCTGGAGTTAATAAGTATTTATTACTGTAAATTTTTTCTTTCAAAAACCCAAATGAACTGTGGAATAGAGCTTTTACAGAATGAGCGGCAAGCTGCCAAGCTCCTGCACCAGGATGAAGCCAATTTTTATACTGACTCACTTTCTCTGCTTGATTCTTCTCTCTCTCAACAAGAAGAAACCCATTCATTTCCGTTGTGTTACACTGGAGGCTCTCCCACATAAACAGAGTGTATCCCTAGTATAGGTGTAAATGACTGGAAGGGAGATGTTGACAGAAGAAGAGGCTGTGGGATGCATATGGAACAAATATCTATGAAATTTGGCCCAGGCCCTTCTGCAGAGAACACCAGAAATTCTCAGACATGTACTGGTTCAGTCTAGCCTACCGAGTCTGCAACACTATTCTGCCCTCCCCCCCACCCTCCAATAATTTATTGCCACTTGCTACATAAATGATGGTGCTACAGAATAAACCCTTCTCAAATAAAAGGGTTTCCATTATACAGGTTTCCAGATATCTCAACTTTCTCATCAAGTGATTTTATAGGACCTGCAGGGAAAAGTATATCATGCTCACTTACTTCGCGGAACTACTCAGGCTCAGAATACAATCCCTGCCGGCTGCACAGCACTTGATTCATTTCCCCTATGATGTGAATGCAAAGCACTTTAGCCACACTGAAGGCGAAGCACAGACAGCATAATATGGAAGGAAGAAGGGCTCAGTTTCCAACAGCTTTGCTCCTGTTCATTCCTAGCCCCTTAATAGCTTATGATGCAATGTATGGGCTACCTAAAATCAAGCCGTTCCTTCCAGTTTTCCCAGGAGAACAAAGAATATCAAGGCAGAACAAGTAAAGAGTGATTTTAGGACTGGAGCTTTTGTGGGCAAGATTTTTTTCTGAAAATTCAAATCATTCATAAACATTTATGAAATCCGAGGGAAGAAATCAGGAAGGGGCCACAGCTCAGTAATTACAGCACATGCTCACCATGTACTCGTAAATCCCACATTCAGTTCCTAACATTTTCAGTTTAAGGAGCAATAAAAAGTAGAAAGGAAAAACAGGAAAGATTTTTGGCTTGAGACTTTGGAGAGCCACTGCCCTGAACTGGTAATATAAAGCAAAATCAAACAAAATTTCAATGCCACCTTAAAGTCTAACAAACTGTTTTCCAGAATAAGCTTTTGTGAGCCAGAACTCATTTCATCAGATGCATGGAGATACACAGGAGATATATTTATTCTTCAAGATAGAAACAACAGGAAGGTGTGTGGTACTAAAAACAATAAGCAATCAAAGAGAATTCAGTTCATCCAGACTGGGTGACAAGAGGAAGATCCCTTATAACCTTTCACTAACCATTGGACAAGAATTCTAGGGACATAATGTCTCTTAGAAAATGCTAATTAGTAATGGAATACACACACCCCTCTCCTGAGTCTGCATGCTACAAAATCAGAAACATATGATAAGGTGTGAGGCCATTGGTCGATCTAGACCAATATTGCTTCTTTTGACTGGCAGCAGCTCTCCAAGGTCCCAGGTAGAGAGCTTTCCCACTCTGGAGATGCCAGGGACCTTTTACAAGCAAACCGTGCCCTCTGCTCACAAATCATAGCCCATGTCATCCACTGCAACTTTCAAGGAGCTTCTTCAGCAAGAAGAATGGGTCCCCAACTTACTGGGAAGCCCATTGGCACTCCATGGGGGGGGGGGGTTGCTGGGCCAAGTGCCATCTTTGCCCTGTGTCTCTGGGGCCTTGTGGCTTGCCTCCCTCTCCATGGTGCCCAATCAGGGGCAGCCTGTGTACTTCCTGGGGGTGGGGCTGAGCAAGTGGACAGCCAGTTTTCATTCTGGTCCACCTACCCTTTTTTAATTTAGCCCTCCCAGGGGCCTGAGCTTCATTCTGCCTCTATGAATTTCCGTCTTGACCCTCCCTCGCTTTGGTTTTAAAAGTTTTCCATTTCCCACTTGTTCGGTTTTCTTCTTTTATTGTCATTGTCACAACTGTTCTGTTTCTTTAATTTGCTATTGTCAGAGCTTGTTATGTGGCTTTGGCATTGGGCTGGATCCTTTTGGGGTAAGATTGGTCTTGAATGCCCGACAGGTAGGGGCTCCATTAAGGGCTTGGGGGCCTTGGTTAAGGAGATATGCCCAGCTTGGGGGATGCTGGCCTCACCTTGCCCCCAAGTGGCAGAGGGATCACATAGTGGCCTGTGCCCAGGTGTTTGCCTATTGCTGCCATCCTAGGTCTTCCCTTCAGCAGGTGGGTTGAGGGACAGGGTTGCATGCCAGCAAGCGAGTCACTCAATGCCTTGGATCCATTGCCCTATGCCAAGCCAAACCTTTGCAGCTGTGGCCTCTTATTCCACACATGATGTTGTCTTGGTCATTTTGCCCAGCACCCGGCCACCCATTTCACCACTGGAGCCACAGTGTTCCATTTTTAGAACCTCTTGTTATTTATATCAGCAGATCCCAATTTTTTTCAGTATGATGACCCACAAGTCTGAATTTTCTTGGTATAGTGACCCATACAGGACTGGGCCAAGGTTTTTTGGCACCATAGGCAAACTATGAGCTTGGTACCCATCTAGTTAAGTATCCCATTTTCTACAGTGGCTGACCAGATGCTTTAGAGAAACCAACAAACATTGCACAAAGGATGCAGCTTCCCTCACTACGAACCCCCCAAGCAAGTGTCATTCCGACATATATACCATTTGCACACAGAGGTTACATTCCAGCCTTTGACCACCCCGTCCTTCTCCTTCTCTGTAATCTCCCCTAAGGTTATAAGAAACTCACTCTAATGACCATTAGGACATGTTTTACCTGTTCAACATGTATATGCAATGAAGAAAAAATACCAACTAATGTGTGGCATAAAAGGGTCAGATCTTGGTTTCCAAAATACAAAAGAAAGCAATAGAAATGGGCAGGGGTGGCCATTAGGGAGGGCTGGCCTGCAACCCACTTTCAGATGCTTTGCAACCCCCTTTTGGGTCCTGACCCACAGGTTAGGAAACACTGATTTCTATAACCTGAATGAGCATGCTGTGGAGGGGCCATTACTGCTTGCAACTTTGAACAGACTTCCTTCCTATCTAAAAGATAAAGACAAATAATAAAGAAAAAAATATGGACAGCAAAGAAGTCTATCGTCTGCAAGAGTTTTATTCTTAAACTACCCTGGAATACTACCTAAAATAGATAATATTCATAAAGGCAGGCATACTAAACAACAGCTCCTACAATTCTCAGTAGTAAGCCAGTTTGCCAATGACCACACCAGGCAACTGTCCAATAAAAAACATGATGTTGCATATATATTGACAATTCTATGAGGTACCAAGTGTCCCTATCCATCTGATGATTCACCACTAATATGGTACTCCCTCTCTGTTACATTATAGCTGCAAGGTCTAAATACAGTTTAATCAATATTTGAAATTGAGCAGCTGCAACTTTAAAAAAAAATGCAAAATAAAAACCTTGTCTGTTGCCTTCCCACTTCAGGATTAGTGCAAACATAATTTACATTATTGGGTGATCTGGTTATTTGCACTGGCCTGATTTGATAAATTATGACACTAATTTCAATGCTGATAAAGAAAGGGGGAAATATGATCTCAAACACTTACTCTCTGCAGGCTCTTTAGATCTTCTTCCACTGGAGGATTTCCTCAGTAAACTTCGTCCTGAGGTAAAAAGGCTAGTTAATTCCTCTAGAGGACTGGTAGGCG